CATCAAAGTCGAGCAGAAACGTGTCGGAACAATAAAATGCTGAGCTGGTAATAAACAGAAACTCAACTAAATCAACTCGAGTACAGGCGAACGCATTGAAAACCGAATCAGAAGTGGAGTCAATATTTTTATATACATACATATGTATGTACATACATACATACATATTTTGTCGTCTAATTGAAGCTAGATTGACAAAAAAAAAATGCAATTAAGACTGGTTTGGTCGGAACTGCTCGACTAGAGGATGCCCTGCATTCTGCAAAGAACAAAGAACAATCATTCTGCACTACTTTTGTACACACATTCAAAAACACATGCACGTATGCACATACATACGTATAAAGGTACATACATATGTAAGTACATACATACATATGTATGTATAAATAATAAATCTAGGGTCTCTATGTGTGTATCAGTGTTGCCAATTTTTGTTGAGCAACAAAAAACTGTTTTTAGTGGGAAGATACTTAAAAAAAAAAGCCGAAATTTTGTGAAAAAAAATCGAAAAAAAAGCTGATGTTTTTTGCTTTGATTTGACTGATATTTAAATATATTTTTAACAACTTATAATCATCAAACCCTTAGAACACGCTTCTCAACTTAAAACTTTGTAGCGTCTTGAATAGTTTCCTACTGAATTGGGTGGATGTTCTTATATTGRGGYTCAATACWATCAATGTTCTCCAAAAATATATATGCATGAAAAGGAATCAACATTTTTCACTATTTGAAAATTTGTCGGCAACCTTAAACACATAAATTCTTGTACTACACACTATCAAATTAATCTTTTCGTTTCATTTACATAGAATCAAAAAGTTCGATATTGTTGTTCACAATAAGTTGTTCTGAATTAAATATAAATTATATCCTAGTCTAGTTAGTTCCATATTATTACAGCTTGGTTCGTTCATTAAAAATTGAATTACTGAACTATTTGGTTTTAATTTAACTACAATGAAGAAAACTTCATTCTTCATACGAATTATATATACAAAATACGAAAATTTCTTCAATAAATAAAATAGCGTAAATAAAGCAAATTATTCTTTTAAAAAATCCAGAATTCCCGCTGCCCGCTGTTTTNTTTTACAAATGTGAGGGTGAGGGGGTGAATATAGGGGTGGAGGATAAATTTTAACAAAAACCGAAATTGTATAAATAGCATATAAGCATACATTAAAAATTTGGAGGCTCTAGCAATAAAGGTGTAGAAGATATAATTTTATAACTGGTTTTCGATAAGGTTTTTTATCGATAAAAAAAGATCGGGATGAGTTATCGATTTTTAATTATAAACTCGATATCCGCGCTGTAATTACCAACATTTAAAAAAAAATTTAAGTCTCTAGCTCCTATATCTTCGGAAATCGACGCGTTCAAACATACGGACAGACGGACAGGGCCAAATCAACTCAGGTCGTCGCCCTGATCAAGAACATATATACTTTGTGGGGTCTGTCACGCCGCCTTCTCCCTGTTACATACATTTCAACAAAACCATTATACCCTGATTTCCCATTGAAAATGGGTTCAGGGTATAAAAATTAACAATATATATATACACTCATGGTCAAATTAATAGGTGTGACCCAAAGATTCTAGCATATTTTAGAATAAGTACGGTATGAAATTTATTTTGTTAGGTATGGCCACACTTTTTGAAAAGGAAATAGGCAAAATCCCCCTAAAAAAATTTACTCGCTAAAAGGTTTAGGCTGTTATACATTCTCTACCTCAAAATTGGCCTGGACACATTAATAGGTGTGTTTAACTAAACAAAAAATTATTAAAATATTAAAGAGTTTTTAAGTAAGCAAAGGTACTATTTTTATTGAATATAATTTGATTGGAGCATCAAAATTTTTATTTTTATTAATTGAGTAGTGTTATGCTGCCATATGCCCACGACAACATACATCTAAAATAGAAATTCCAACAGGATAACGATCCTAAATAGGACTCCCCAGTAGTTAAGGATTGGTTTCATGAAAATAGGATTGAAGTTTATGAGTGGCAAGTCAGCCTCCAGATCTCAATCCAATTGAGAACCGTTGGGGACACCTGAAAAGGCAAGTTTCCAAGACTACCTGCTTCAATTACTCCCAATTATTGGAAAATACTCAGGAGGAATGGAGCACCATTCCTGTGGAAAGGTGTTGAAAGTTAATATCCTCTATGCCCCAAAGAATCAGCAGTCAGCAGTCAACAGTCATTGCGAATAAATGCGGATATACAGGGTATTAACCATACTTATCTAAATATGTTCTAAATATTCTACAATATTTCAGAAAATTTATATATATTTTTTTTTTTATTTGCTGGGCACACCTATTAACCTGGCTAGCGAAATTTTGAGTTTTTTGTGAAGTATGCCGAATTTATGCTAAAAATTTTTATTGTTTAAACTGGTTTTTTGTTGTTGTTATTCTATGATGTGTCTATTTTTTAATATAAGTTGAATTTTTTAGTTACATGAAAAAATATAGACGTTATTCCCATTTCAAAAAAAAAACAAAAAAATTTCACACATACAATAACATACAATATATCAATGTAGACATATACCCAACATAAGTAAGGGTATCATGCTCACACTTTGGTGCTTCTTTTATATTATAACAGCTAAACATAAGTGCAGTAATATGATCGATCACTTATGTATAAGCCGCAGAGCTCGCAAATAAGAGTTGATCGTTTTTTATACCCTGAACCCATTTTCAATGGGAAATCRGGGTATAATGGTTTTGTTGAAATGTATGTAACAGGCATAAGGCGGCGTGGCAGACCCCACAAAGTATATATATTCTTGATCAGGGCGACGAGCTGAGTTGATTTGGCCCTGTCCGTCTGTCTGTCCGTTTGTCCGTCTGTCCGTCCGTCCGTATGTCCGTATATATGAACGCGTCGATTTCAGAAGATATAAGGGCTAGAGACTTCAAACTTTTTTAAAATGTCCGTAATTACAGCGCGCATATCAAGTTTATCATTAAAAATCGATAACTCATCCCGATCTTTTTTTATCGATAAAAACCGTATCGAAAACCAGTTATAAAATTATATCTTCTACACCTTTATTGCTAGAGTCTCCAAATTTTTAATGTATGCTTATATGCAATTTATACAATTTCGGTTTTTGTTAAAATTTACCCCCCACCCTTAAATTCACCCCCTCACCCTCACTTTTGTAAAAAGCGTATTTCAAATACTAGAGACTTGTGCTTTGGCAATTACATGCATATCCATGTTATAATCATAATCTGAAAGTTTCATGAAGATCGTACGTCCANACACGCTATCAAAAGAGTTGCATACATTTTTTAATCTTTTCGTTTCATTTACATAGAATCAAAAAGTTCGATATTGTTGTTCACAATAAGTTGTTCTGAATTAAATATAAATCATATCCTAGTCTAGTTAGTTCCATATTATTACCGCTTGGTTCGTTCATTAAAAATTGAATTACTGAACTATTTGGTTTTAATTTAACTACAATGAAGAAAACTTCATTCTTCATWCGAATTATATATACAAAATACGAAAATTTCTTCAATAAATAAAAAAGTGTAAATAAAGCAAATTATTCTTTAACAAATCCAGAATTCCCGCTGCCCGCTGTTTTGGAATTTTTCCCGAATCGGCTTTTCAAAAAAGCCACATTTGACGGGAAAAAAGCTGATTTGGCAACACTGGTGTGTATGTACATATGTATGTAGGTCTAATAAATTCAAATTGCGCTTTACATACATACAGATATACATTTGCATAAAACTATACATGCATGTATATATGTACATATGTATGTATGTATGTACGTGTGTCCATTGCTCCATGCGCAGATATACATACATGTACATATATGTATGTATATATGTATGTGTGTATAAATCACAAAAAACTACTATGTACATACATACATACGTACATACACACACACACAAATGTGTATCGTGATCCGATCTGGTAAAGTATTTCATTGTATTCTTGAAACTACTACGTATGTATGTACGTATTTGTATGTGCATGCATACATATACATATATACATATGTACGTATGTGTATGTACATATATGCTGGTGCCAAAAGGATGATTTGTTGGCGATTCACTGAAAAGCTCAAATTCCCCTAATTCAAATCACATATGCACATACATATGTACATACATACCACAAAATGAAATATAGTGGATTGCTGAATATCGTGAGACGATGAGTTCAACCTATCGATACGATGGCTCGTGGCGCAATTACAATAACGTATCGTAATGCGATGTTATTAAATGACTCAAATTTCACATGCTATTTAAATATATGTAAGTGCATCAAGCGCATCAGTTTTCAATTCAAGTTAATTGAAAGAGTGTTATTAAGAAACGTTTTTGATTAATTTCCGTTTAGACTATTTTGTTAGACTGACTATCGATTAATTATTTCGATTGCACTGGCTACTGAAATTTTCAAAGCTTCGGTGCGATCGCCATCGATATGAGATCAAATTAATATTAATTATAATAAAACATCAATGTCGATGTCATTATTATTAAAAAAAAAAAAAAAACCCTAAATTCAACATTATTTAACAAAAATAAAAATAATAATGCGCTTTCATTCCAGTATTTTGCATAAGGCTTAACTTAAAAACATAGGAGAGATATCTTATACATTTCACTAAAATTTAACAGAATTACATATTATTTTAGAGGCAACAGAATATGCCATTAGCAGAAAATTTGATTGCAATTTCTTTTCATACCTTCCCAAAAACAAAAAACCGTTGCTTTCAAATGGGGTTAACTGCATTCGCAGATAATGATGTTTTGAAAAAGATCGATGCATCGCTCAGCATCGGTATCAGCGAAAACATCAAAAGACATCGATAAACATCGCTAATAAAACATCGATGCTCGATTAATCAATGATCACTAGATCACTAGATCAAGTCAATTTCATTTGCAATCCGCAACTCAATCAACAAAGTCGACGACCGAGCGAGATTCATATACATACATACATATTTGTGAATTCCCTAAAGTGAATAATTTCTTACAACTTCAATGGCGATGAATTACGAAAGTGAGACCTCATATAAACAAATTATTTTATTTCATAAGTGGACTGTTCCAAATACATCATTCTTTAAGAACAGCAAAGATTTTATGGGATTCGCCTCAAAGGTGATTCGTGAGTCCGATTATGGCTATTGTTTTCAGTTACAGTTACAGCCATTAGAAAATTATCATCTAAGCGAAGGTTTACTATCCGTACTTTGTATAAAAAAAGGAAAATATAGCGCATGCTACAAAGTACAAATTCATATATCAGGCCATAAGTGCCCGGTAGTTGCGGCACTCATACCAAATACAGTGAAAGTAAAATTATCACTCGAGTCGCTGTTAGACTTAATAATTGAATGTTATATAACGATTACAATGCTCGAAGCACCCAGCGTACAGCTGGTGAAAGTACCCGAAAGTCAATTATCGAAACATATTGGCGCTTTATTTAATACCACTGAATACTCCGATGTGACCATTGTGACTGCCGATTTGTGTGAGATACCTGCTCACAAGATTATATTATCCGGTAAGAATCGTTGAGAAACATCTCTGGAATTGCAATAAAATCTGTTGACTAAATGTTTAAACTCTCACAGCAGACAGCAAGGTTTTTGCGGACATGTTAAGCGGGGAGAGTCAGACCAATCGTGTAATCATTGATGATTTCTGCGGTAAAGTTGTGGAGGAGCTGTTGCGTTTTATTTACACAGGAGTTGCACCGAACTTGGACTTCGATAAGGCCAAAGATCTACTGGCAGCTGCGGACAAGTATGACATTCAAAGACTAAAGGCACTGTGCCTGAATTACTTGTTCGATCATTTATCCATTAAAACTGCGGCAATGACGTTCAATTTAGCCCATAAATACAATGAAAAAAGGCTGCTATCGAAGACAGTCGAATACATAAAAAGGAATTATAAAGATGTTAAGGGTACAGAAGAATGGCAGAATATAGTTCAAATGAATCCCGTTCAGCTAATGGATATTTTCCTGGGGTTTTAAGAACTTAATGTGAATACATGGGATGCATGAAAATCTAGCACAACCAATTATGAAGTAATTTTAATTAATTAATAATTTCATTATATACATACATACATATATTCCTTTGCTTAATGCTCTAAAAACAATGTTGAAGTTTACAGCTATAAATAATGGATTCTTGTTAAATTTAACTGTTTATGTTTTTATTGCTTATCTGTATTTGTTGCTTTAGCAATTGAAATATATACGAAATATATATATCTTAAACTTGTATTGTTAAATTGAAATGCTTATGTTGTTATTGCATATCTGTATTTGCTGCCTTAGCAATTAAAATACATACATATGAAATATATATATATCTTAAATTTGTATTGTTGACATCTATACTGAAAAGTAGTTCGGATATATTCGGTACGAGATCATAAATAATGAACGACTCATGGAATAGCTACCTCGATCTGCATCCTCAGCCTGCGACCTCATCGCATTGGCATCTGAGGATCGCATGGCATGGGGTGTGAACGTCGGATGCCCCCAGCACACACTACGCTCTTTGGTATACCCTGTAATGGAACAAAGCTGGGTAGCATAAACTATATATCCTTATTGTGTGAGCAAGTTGCTATCTGCTGGGTATCTGCTAGTCGACTACATACGAGTAATGGTATTTTATTTTATTTTCATTTTGTTTGTTTTTTTTTTTCTTTTTTGCCATATTTGCTGTCAAAACATGCTCGATACCCGGCTATGTGGGGGCCACATGCTGGCAAGTGGCTGCGGCTCATAAATTGCCGCTATCTGCGCATTGCATCTGTATCTATAGCTGTATCTGTATCTGCATTTGTATCTGCTGTTGCAGGCTTTGCGCTGTGCTGGCTCGGGCCTTTGTGAAATATGCTGCTAATTGAATTGAATTGAACTTGGCCACAGTTCGATGAGCTGCGATTTTCGTGTGATTTATGCGGGATGCGCAGGCGCAAACGTACAGCAGAATGGGGAGTGGGGAGTGTGGAATGTGGAATGTGGTGCATGAAGCGTGCTGTTGCCGTTGCCAGCCAAATGAAGTGCTTGCGAGTGCCAAGCCCCAAATGTCATTGCCAGTATTAGCGACTGGCAGACAATGCCAAATACCGTCAACAGGCGACAGTTGACTTTGGCAAGTGCCAGCGCTTCCCGCAGTGTGAGGGAGTGGGAAAGAGGAAGAGATGGGTGGAGGGGGGGGGGGGCAGGTAGCTCGCAGCGTTCTCAACCAATTAAACCAGTTTCCTGTTGCAATTGCTCGTTTCGCAGAAACTTTGCTTTAGTTTTGCTCCGTCTCGTTCATTTGATTGCACGCTGATGAAATAACAAGACTCCGAGCCAATCTCCCACCCTGCCGCTCTCCCGCTCAGTTGCCCAGCCGGCAGTGACGCCCTCATAATCAAAGCGTCTCAACTGCGCAGATGCAGCCGTCGCTGGAAGAAAGAGGGAAAAGGAATTGTTAAGGTAGCAACAAGAGTGCTTGAATTGAGAGTCTCCGACCCATGGATACCCTGCAATCTTGTACTTACTCACTTTATGATAAAATTTTTGGGCGAGAGCCATCGATATACAATCGAAATACATTTTTAATCAAAAGAGTGAATAAGATGTGAATCATGCTCATAAAAATAATAGTGGGACTGGCCACCCAAGTGTATTTGACCGTAGGCAATATGCCATGTATGCCATATCCCCACATTCTTAGGGTGCGGATATGATCGAGCCTGAAGATCTGCCCTTAGCGTACGAAAAGCGAAAATAAATTTAAAGCAAAACGTGCGAATGTTTACTTTGAGTACAAGGACAAGCGCTGAGAATCTGGCCCCAGGCATAATTGGGACAATCTTCCAGCCCATGGGAATCTTTCAGCGAGTGCCAAAATGAGCTGCTGCTCTTATACAGAGCCCATGAGTCGTAAGCACTCAAGCTTCGCCTACTCTGCGATTTCAATGGGCAAACAAAACAAACAGATATTAGCTTGAAAACAAAAATGCTTCATTGGCCTTGTCCAAGATCTGTTTGAATTCACAAATAAAAGCTCAAACAATGTACAATATAGAACATAAAATAGCTGAATATACTGCGTTGTTTCTGATATATGTACATACATACATATGTACATCAATTTCATTATGCATGGACTCGGCTCAAGGCATCTATGTATGTATGTATTTGTGATTCCGGCAATTGTGTCGAGCTCTTTTTCGCGGAATCGGTACTTTTGAAAAGTGAAAATGATGTAATGGAACATTTTATCATCAGTGCTGTCAGTATAGCCATTTTACCGCCAGCTTTGGCCACTTGCAAACACAGAGGGTGTGACAAGTAGCTACATATGTATATTAAAGCATTTTATAGCATATTTACATATCGTAATTGATGTCACATAATATATGTATATCACATAATATGTATATATCGTATATTCAAAGTTCTTGATTCTTGATTTCTAAATATATATGTATATATAAAGAATAAAGCATCAAAAAGAAAAAATTTGTTTTAATTAAATATATAAATAACATA